TGCCCTCCTTCAGCTCAAGCCCATCAGGAGACAGGAGGTTGCTGGAGGTGTGTTTGGGCCTCACCTGGATCAACCCCTCCGTGTCCTGGTGCAGCAGGACAAGTTTCTAACCCACACAGTTAATTCCTATTAATAACAGAATGGCAAGGTTGGGGTATTTAACTTGTCTGGGACAAGTAGGAAATATTTAATCTCCCTGTTCCGACACAGAATTCCAACACTAACAGCCTCTGCCTCCTCGGGGTTGGGTTTATTGTAATTCTTGCCAACAAAACACAAGCTGAGTTTACAAAATGTTCCAACAATTAAATTCACTTGCTGTTCAAAAACACCAACCAAGGGACCCCTTTTGCCACCTCTGCTCTGGGCAATTCTTCCTCCATCTGCTCAGGAGCCTGTTTTTCTATTTTATTTGTTAAATGTTGTTGTTTTTAATCCCACCTAGAGCCAGGCTGGTCCCTCCTCCCCGTGCCTGGAAAGCTCCTCATCAGCAGAAAGGAAAAATATCCCCCTTTTGCAGAGGATGTTCAGAGCCCAACGTGCTCCTTCTGGACACTGCAAGAGGAGATTTGTCCTCCCATTGTTTATTTTTAATGCCTGAACTCTCAGCTTCCTGCTGAGCAGCCCCAGGGAATGGCCTGTTCCTGGTTCCCTGGGGTGATGGAGCACACCCGGCTCTCCAGACCCCAGTGAGGGCAGAGGGAATGGAGCTCAGGGCACTTGTTGCTCTGGGCTGGGTGACAAGGGGGACACAGGCTGGGCTCAGTGCTCTGGGAGGCCTCTCCAGCCTCAGTGATTCCGGGATTCTGGGATTATCCCAGCTCTGTCCCAGTGTTATCTCTCCCAGGGTTATTCCCACAGGCAGTTTTGTGCCTCACTGGACATGGGCACAAACAGCCACAGCATTCCCAACCTCCCCAGTGCTCTCAGCTCTCCAGGACCAAGAACAGTGAGCACTGAGGGCCAGGAATCCCCCCAGGAACTCCTCCTGGAAACTGGGAGGGAATCACCAGCATGGACTGATCTTTTATTTCGGCCTGGTCGAGCCCATTCCTGATAAAATCAAACATTTCATGTTTTCCACTTAGTTACTAAGTGGAAACACATGGAAATGCTGAGGGAAGGATGTTATCCTGCTTGTTCCCAAAAGGAGTTTCTGAATCCTTCTGACATTCCAGTGACATCCTTCCTGGTCTAAAAGCCCCCAGAGAGCCCCAGCTCCAGCAGCTCTGGCCCAGCTGAACACCCTGCCCAGCTCCCATCCCATTCAGCCTGGCCTTCAGCCTCCACAGACACACATTCCTGAGGGGAATTTTAAGGTTACTGCTTTTTTTGGTCAGGTTTTAATACAAAATCTCTGTTTCCTCTGTAAGAATAAGTAAGTTTAAGCTTTGCTACCCAAAGCAACAAAAGGACCCCAAAATGTGGAGAATTCTCCCCAGTTCCAGTGTGTGAGGAAGTTCTGAGCACGTCAGGTGGGGCCAGAGCCCCAGGAACACTCAGCTTTATCCAAGAGCTTCCACCTTTAAACCCAGTTATCCAATAACCAACTGCAGGGAATAAAGTCTCACTTTATTGAACCTGCTGAACTTGAGCCCCAGATGAGCTTTTTCAGCAAACTGTTCCACAGCTGGAAAGCCCCCCAGGAAAGCACAGGTGGACAAGGCCAGGCCAGTCCATGGCTCAGCTGAATTCCCACCCAAGGGAATGGGATTCTCCAAACAGCTTTACAGCAACACTCACGAGCTTTTGTGACTCAGCAGCTGGTTAAAACACAGGAAAT